GAATGCCCTGCAATATTAGCCTACAGTAATCGTAATTCTATTGAGAACATATTAATGTAGGCTACATGTATAATTATAATGTCATTATAAAATATATAGTTGTTTATAGACACTATAAATGCATATATTTGAAAATTATTAATTTTCCGCTTAAAAAGAACGTTCCGTGCATAGCCTAGTTCTTCGCGCCCCCTGAACCCCCATAATAAAGATGGCTCTGTGGAGGTGGATGACTTCTCATTTTAGACACACACACACACACACACCTCTGAAGGGATAGAAAAGTCCTCGGGACTTGGTACCGCATCACTCGCAAGACGCAACCTGCATTGGTTGTCAACAAGGCGAAGTCCACAATTCTCGAAGCTCTCTCGAGAAAAATGTTTGCGGCACACACATTTAGATGTGTCTGTGGTTGATGGAAAACCAACCGCCCGGAGCCAGAGTCTAGCCCGGGCAGCATCGCGGGGAAACATATTCAACCCAATTGGACTTTTGCACCACGAAAACAAACACTTGCGTGCGTCCCATGATTGCCTCTCTCATCTACTACGCGATATCACAGTTTGACATGTCTGTCATTGGAAAGATCCACGTGGTGTCATGAATAATTAAGAGACGGTGTCTTCTCATAGGATATGAAAACTCAGTCTCATTAATAATTATAAGACACCGATGAGTCATCAACGCACTCACAGTGTACTGCCACGTCACAGCCTGTGATGAAGATTTTAAACCCGGAAGACAAAAAAGCGGAAAAAAAAATTAAACCATTTTAACCCTACTATTAAATCTAACTGATGCTAACATTGTCTTCAATGGCGTTCAACACACATACCTCTGTAAAAATCTCAGAAAATTTGGTTTGAGGTTTCATGACCCTTTAAGCAGTCCTGCGCTATGTGGATATATAAAGTTTGGCATGGCCAGTGTGCCTGCTGGGAGTGGAAGCAGAGTGCTGCACACACTGCCCTGCTGTTGCACTTCAACTCAACTCTTGAAATATGGCTTATATTTAAACGCTGTCATTCACAAAGTACCTGTACTAGTAAAATGAGGAATCGTACTGTTTAGGGTATTGTGATACCTTTCTAGTACCAATATATCATGCAACACTAGTTCAGACTAGCTGACTGGTCATATTCACTCATATTAAGTCCATCAGCACAAGTGTCCAAAAATTTGTATTCTGGTGGTTTCACTGTATTTTTTGCTTTGTATGACAGAGCCTTTATAAAGAGTTAAAGTGGCTTATTTTACTATCAGGAGTGAATATAAAAAACAGTGTAAATGTCAAATGAAGGCCTTGATGACTTGTTTAGAGTGCATCAGTCAGGTTCCAGAAGTAAAAACTCCATGCAGTTTCCCCATAGGGAAAATGATTTTTAACAATAACATAAACCTTTAAAGACAGCCTTACTGTGAGCTACAAGATTTGTTATCAATAGTATTTGCTTCTGTTGAAGCCATCAGCCCGCATTATTTCAACCAGACATGGGGACTTGTGACTTGGTGACTTGGACTCGAGTCGCTATTTTTATGACTTGTGACTTGACTTGACATAAAATGAAATACTTGAGACTTGACTCGGACTTGGAAGTTAAAGACTCGGGACTTGACTTGAGACACGATGACTTGAATGACTTGAGTGTTAATCACATCATGTTTTCAGTTTGAATATAAAATATATATTATAAAACATTTTTTTTTTAAAAGTTGATCCAGCTGGAGCGCAGGCTGAGAATAGCGTTGTCATGACTGGATCACGACACTATCATCAGTCATGCCCTCTCGTACCTTACGCACATCACGCCCACTTAGACATCACATCAAAATGTCAGCCGGAGGGGTACCGAGGGTCATCGCTTTCGGCTTCAAGAATTATTCACAAGATGGCAAAAGACGAACAGCGCTTTGCAAGACATGCAACATTAACATTGCGGACAGCCAAACGACAACCTCCAATTCCGTCCGTCATTTGAAGAGCCATTCTGCCCAGTAAGTGCTTGTCAATTTGTTAATGTTATATGGTTAGTTGGTAGTTAGCTAATGTAATAATAGCTAAAGTAGCCATTAACCCTTTCACAAGTAAGTTTAAACTATTCTAACTGATTTTTTTTAGGCGACCGTTATTTAGAACCTGTCACTCACTTTAATGTTTCCATGGTGACGCGTCATTGCTTGTCACGTGACACAGCGCAACCACAACACAGTGCTGAATGAATGATGATCTGCTTTTGTCATTTTTCCTGTTTTATTCAAAATGTTCACAAATGTATTAGCTATAACATGAAACACTGATATTCCGATTGTCAAATATGTGGAAGTGGATGTGTTTTGTTGTTTAAACACCTGTATAACGATCGCGTTAGTTGAGCTGCCCTGGCTAGTCTGAGTCAAGAGTCAAGCTGCCCTGAGTCAAGTCACCTTATTATTGTAATTTTACAATAATAAGGTGACTTGACTTGGACTTGACTTGGACTTGACTTGACCTACTACAGGACTTGACTTGAATTGACTTGACATAGCCTGTGACTTGACTTGCCCAGGAAAAAAATACTTGGGACTTACTTGAGACTTGAAGGTTAAGACTTGAGACTTACTTGAGACTTGCACATGTGTGACTTGGTCCCATCTCTGATTTCAACTATTTTAAAATAGTGTTTAACAGCAGAATTTGTGGTGAAAAATTACATTAACAATGATGCTGTACAATAAATTCCACCAATCAGAGAGTCAAAACAAGCAAAACGTGCCAAAAGATCTGGTTCACTCCCATGAAGCACCGCAAAATGACATTTCGAGTCGGCCTCCCTGTGATATATGTGCATATTTTACAATAAACTTGATCTACTTACGCACCGCTCGTCTCCTGTCTTTCTCTCCTGCTGCAGACCTACAACCTAATTGAATTTCTTTTAATTTATTCCTAATTTAATTGAATTTGATTAATTGTGGCAATAGTCTGTTAACATTGGCTCAATCAGAAATATGTTGAGCCAATGGAAAACATTTGTTTACCAAACCGTGTTGTTGGTCCAATTAAATGTTTTAAATTGTTGTAGCAAGTATAATTTCTGTTCTCAATACACTTCATGACCATCTTGAAACTTGGCGTGACGTTGATTCTTCTCTTGGGAATGATGTTTGTTTTGGTCATCAGCACCGACTGATTCGGCTCCGTTCGCCCTCCCTCGCATCTGCGTTTGAATTATCCATACCAACGGTTTTCCTCAGGTGCATGTTGTGCATGCATAAACAGATAAAGAAACAAAGCACTACTCATTTAATTTCTATCTTTGTTCTGTTGTATTTATCTATGCTTGTAATTTGATTATTATTTTCTATGCAGATGCAATTCCTACAAAACCAGGAATGTGTTTTTTTTTTTTTTGCAATGTCAGTTTTTTTTCCAGTATCGTGCAGCCCTAATAAATATTATTAATTAAATGACAATGCATAGTGTAGTCTACATTCACACATTTAAGGTGCAGTCTGTAAGAATGACAGCTAGTGGTCGAAATAGGTACTGTAGTCCAAATTCAAAATATCGAAGATTGTTATTGTATCGAAGATCAGCTTCACAGGAGACTCGATCTAAATACTTTAAAGGGTTAGGCCTATTCACCCAAAAATGAATTCTGTCAGTAATTACTCACCCTCATGTTGTTCCAACCCCGTAAGACTCTCGTTCATCTTCAGAACACAAATTAAGATATTTTTGATTAAATCTGAGAGCTGTCTCACTCCTCCATAGGCTTCTATTGTAATTGAAACTTGCCGGCCCAGAAAGTAGATAAAAACATCGTTAAAATAGTCCAAGTGCAACCATAAGTTTGTCAAGTGACGAGAATACTTTTTGTGCGCAAAAAAACCCAAAATAACGACTTAAGTCAACTATTAGTTTTCTTCAATGTGGGCCTCAGTGTGAGTTCGTAGTGTTACAGCGCAGTGCTACATCAGAACATAGGCTCACATGCTGGCCAATAGTGAGAAAACGTTCTGATGTAGCGCTGTGCTGTTACACATTTTCCGAAGATGAACGAAAGTCTTGCGGGGTTGGAACAACATGAGGGTGAGTAATTACTGACAGAATTTTCATTTTTGGGTGAACTAACCCTTTAAATCCTTAATTTTAAAATATGCTGTGCTATATCCAGTTGCCCACTGTGTCATTCATATAGTTTTCACTGTGTGCTGTATGTAAAATAAGCGTTACCTTGTCTTTATTTGAACAAATTTGATTACCAGTGCGCACGAAATTACCAGATTACTGAGTCCCCTGTTACAGTGTTAACTTCCTTTTTATTCACATTCATATATTTTTTTAAACAATTACTTTATTTGTTAAAAAAACTGTAATAGGATTGCAGATTCAAGAAGTTCAATCTAAAGTATAAGCATGTTTATTTTAAAGATTTGTTTTCTAATTTATTAAATATTGATTAAAAAATAAATATAAAGTATATATAAAAATATCGGCCATCGGCCACCCTTCTCTAAGATATCGGCATCGGCCATCAAAAAAACAATATCTGTTGACCACTAGTTTTAGTATGCTCTCGTTCATAGATATTTTTTATATGGATACCAAGGCTTTTTAGGTTGGGTAGAATCTGCAATCTCTGACCCAGTTTGTTTGCTGGCTGCAATACGTTGTGTTTCTGGAACTGGAATCCCAGGGTGTCGAAATACTTTTGGGTGAACTGTGCGAGATCACACAGACCAAAACAGAATCAGACATTCCAACACGGAATGCACATTTCAAAGTAAAATAACTGGATCTACAAGTGTTTTTCAGAGGAACGAGTATGCAAACATATGGTATTTTTATGCTTTAGTAGAGTGAAAAAGTTAGATACAGCACCTTTAAGTCTCTACTGTTTTTGCTCTGTAATGCATGGAAGTCGAGTGTGTTTCGTGTTGTATTTAATGTTTCTATCATAGATGCTGCAGCAGTGCTAGTATTGATGTTTTCTCATTCGTTTTGTTTCTGTCAGGACTGGAACGGTAGCGACCGCTGGACTCAGTATCGCCCCGTACTGAAACAAACATTTCCCATTTTACTCACCTGCTTTTCTGCAAACAGATTGAAATGCATTTAAATAACCTAAAATTGTGAGGAATCACTCAAAATGTCAAGATACACATTCATCTGTCTGGATGTTTTATACACATTGGCCTGTAACATATGTGAATATTAGCCATTAGAGTGTGTACATATGTATGTATGTATGCATGTATGTATGTTATGTATGAAATTGAATTAAATTTGTGTTACTTTTAAATGTGTTTGTGTTTACTTTTACTAACAGAGTAAAACTGACCACAGCAACAATATAAGAAACAGTCCTGGACTGGCCAACGGGAGCATCGGAAGAATTCCCAGTGGCCTGGCAACTGATTTGGCCCACTGCCTTGGCCCACTGCCTTTAAAAATAAAAAAAGAACAAAACCGTCTGATCTCTGTCCTGCAAAACCTATTTATGAGCAAACATGAAACATTTCTTTGCACGTGTCTCGCATATATATATTCTAATTATTATTATATATTATTGCCTGCCCAAAGTACTAAAGTGATCATTTCCGAATTCGGCATGAATTATATCATGAATTGGTTAGTCTTGACTGGCAACGCTACAATTCAGCTCACGTCCATTGCCATGCCTCTTGCCCAAGTTTCCACTACTAAAAATATTTAGGTTGAGATTACATGATAATTTTATATTACATGTATGAATTAGCTTACTCAAATATTTCAATTTAAGAGCAATTAAAATAAATGAGCACAAAATAAAAATATGGAAGTTCTGTTCGCTTAAACTTTGAATTTCTCAACCTAAAAATTGTAATGGAACTAATTACCTAAATTCTTTTGAGTTTTGCCAACTTGTTCGGGTTTACTGTGAAATTTCTTAGTGAAATATCTGGATGCATTACAGTAATTACAGTAGAGGGATGAATTGTGCTTAATGGTCATGGAAATAATGCCACGATGTTGAATAAAACAGCTTGAGTTTCACATAAAAGAAGGAAACGGCGTGTTTCACATGAAAGCACGACGCCCGCCGTCTCAGTACATGTTTTGCTGGCTGTGAAGCGTATATTTTCTGAGCAGCGGCAGGTGGGAGCTGCATTCAGAAGGGCTACTGAAACACTTCCTGTCCGCGGAGATCGACAAGGCCGAATTATATTCGGCCAGTTTTTCTTAGGCCGCTTGATCTAACGGTGGCTGTTGTTGTGACCTATTGTCTTGTCTGGAGTCTCGGGGCATCAATTATTCTTCGCCTTTTCTATTGGCTCCAAGAACAAAACAAAGCCTAAAGCAAAATGAGGGCCGGAGACGCAGGGTGGGAAATTAATGAAGGGCCCGTGAAGCAGTCCATCATGTGTTATGCTGGGCTTTGTGTTTCTGTCGCACAGGGTCCATCTCGCCAAATAAATCAGCTAGACACGTGCAAAGAAATGTTTCATGTTTGCTCATAAATAGGTTTTGCAGGACAGAGGTCAGGCTGTTTTGTTCTGTCAACTTTTTTACTGACCTTTTATTGGTACGTGGCTGCTGACGGTGCAGCAAACCCAGCTTGTTTAAAAATGTATCTTTAGTTTTATAATATTAACATTTAATTGCATAGACCTACATGAAATGTCCTCGTAATCTTTAATCAAAATAACTTCCCCTCCGTCTTGTCATGTTACCTTCATTTATATAGCACTTTTTACAATACAGATTGTATCAAAGATTTACAGTGATAATAGGACAATTTTTGTTTTGGCTGTACAGCAGCTCTTGAAGAAAGTCATTGTCTAGTTTAAGTAAGTTTTTGATTGATTCATTTCAGTTGTAAAAATCATTAGTTATTAAATTACACGAAACTTTTCAACTGAAAACAGAAAACGTTTAATGCACTCTGGCCATTTACACGACAATGGCGTTTTGGTGGCCTGAGAACGCAAACTTTGAAATGGGTTTCAAAGTGCAAGTGTTTGAAAATGATACTGTTATCATCTCCGTGTAAACTTCAAAAACATGAATCTGTGAAAACGGTGACGGCACGCAAATGCCTATTACTTGTTTAGTCTATTGAGGATGAGAATGTGACGTCAAGCATTTCATTCCGCGTTGCATTGTGGGAAGGTGTCGCCATCTTGGAAGGATACGCTATCCGTTGTCATGGTTACTTCGACAGTGAGACTGAGAGAAATAGCGACAGAGAGAGAGAGCAGCTTGATATTTGTTTGCATTTTTGCGAAAAGGCACAGTTTCTTGGGAATAAATGAAGGGGGAAGCAAAAGGAAAGGGGCTCTATCGGGAGAGACTAAATAAACAACATGGACCCGTACGACCTGCTACAGAATGGACAAAGACCCAAAGCACTACCACCTTTCACATACCCTGACAGTCAATTACCTGGTTTATGGTATCAGTGCCTAACCTTACTGCCTACACAATGCAAGAGTTCAGAAGCTTTAAGTCATTAGAAGCTTATGAACAATTCTGCTGCAGCTGGGTGCAAGACTTAAGGCCCTTACACACCGGGCCGAATATCGGCGCGCGTTATTCGGCAGTGTTTTTCAACGCGTTTTTTGTGTTCACACCCAAGCGATTTTCGCTGACGATGAGCCGAGTGAACATGCCAATTCATTCCCTTACATTAGATGGCGCTTAATGTAAAACAGAAATAGTCATATGTTGTAGTCGCTGTCGCGTTTGTCATATAGTTCTTTATGTTCCGACACCAACGAGACCAGCAGCTCTACATTCATCTTGCCTTGCATCTTCCTCGTCTTATTTCTTCCTGGCAGTGTAGACGCGACTTGGCGTATATCTTCTTCGCCGTTACATATGTGTGCTTGGCAAGACCGTTTTGTGTTTGAGCGCCCCCAAGTTGTGTTTTACTGTAACTTCAGAAGCTCCAGACACGTGAGTAAAAGCGCCAATCTCATTGGTCGGATAGTTTTTGACGCGGGGCGTCAAACCCAAAAAACGAATCCGAGGCGTTTTAAAAAAAAATTACGCTTTTACGTGTGGCATTTTTCGTGTCGGTGTGCACACTCACATTGGCGCCCTTTGTTTAGTCACGAGGCGTTAAATGTCGGCGAATATCGCGCGCGAAATTCGTCCCGGTGTGAACAGGCCTTCAGAAACCCCCAAACCTGTAACTTTAAACTGCGAGAGTTCAGTCATACTTGATGTTTCAGGCCTCATTCATATGTGGAAATAAATCTGATATGAATCAGATAGGTGCATTTGCACCTGCCGTGCAACGTTAAGCGGACAGATCGGACATTCCCCAGTCAATGCGAGTCGTACATCATTAAAAAAAAAGTGTCTTTTTAAAACATTTTGCGGTACAGATATCTATAACAAATTAAACAACTCTTGTTGAATAAGAGTATTTATTTCGTTCGTTTGTGTTAAAAGGCGAACTGTGCTGAAATTTGTTGTTTTCGAAATCATGCTTTGCTCGCTGTTGCTGCTGTCAGTTTATTGACAAGCAGTTTCTCTAAATAAAGCTGGCTAGCATTGTTATTTAGTCTCTCCCGATAGAACCCCTTTCATTTCTCTTCCTTCTCCATATCTTCCAAAGAAACTGCGGCATATCGCTAAAATGTAAACAAATACTAAGCTGCGCAGTCTCTCTCACTATTTCTGGAATGTTTAGTCGCCCCTCTGTGAAGTTCTGAAGGCGTTGCCCCTGGCAATCAATAGCATCATGGCCGACCGGCTCAGACCCCGCCCAAATCAACACTTGACTCCTCACTCTCGCAGGGGTGCCCAACCCTGCTCCTGCCGATCGACTGTCCTGCAGTTTATCTCCAACCCTAATCAAACACACCTGAAGCAACCAATTAAGGTCTTTAGATCACTTGAAAATTAAAGGCAGGGGTGTTTGATTAGGGTTGGAGATGAACTGTGCAGGACAGTCGATCGGCAGGAGCAGGGTTGGGCACCCCTGGTCTATAGGCATGCATGCTTGAATGCGTATGAGCGCGCGGCGGGTGCATAGTATTCGAAAGAGAATCCAATTAGGTACTTCAGTATTCTTTTTATCGTCAAGACCTATAATGCACACTTCATGTTACAGTGTTGACGCATCATTCATTATATTACACACACACAAAGTGGTGAGGGCAAACAACAAAAAAACAGATGATCAAAGTAAATGAGGAAATATAAGTCCAAAGTTTTTATTCAACTGAGATAGATAGGCTATAATCTTATTTTGTATGCTGGATAACTTAGCCTGTATTACAGTTTTCTTGATCTCCAGGGTTGTTTGTTTTAACTGATCGATTTTGAGAACCATTTTATGTTATTATTTGTAGATATGTTTCTGCATGTTGCCTTAAATGAGACTTAAGTTTATTTGTGAACGTGTACAAGTGCGTATCGTCACAGTTTGCACGCTTGAGTAGACGGAGTTATCGCGATGTGCTTCATTCACAGCAAACTAATGGTGTTGAGTTCTCATTCACTAATATTATCCTTTAAAGTACGAAACACACATACTGTTCTGAATGTTCACTTTTCTCTATATGAATCATCATTACTGAAACAAAGGTTGCAAAAGTGGGTTTCCTCAGTGATGCAATAGAACCACCATTTTTTGGTTCCCCAAAGAACCTTTAAATGGAACAGTCCTTAAAAGAAGGGTTTTTTTTTTTCTTAGAGTGAAGAAAGTCCCTTTCAAGGAAAGTCTGTTCACTCTGCGGTCATATTTGCGACGGCACTGGGCAGCTATTTCGGGCATCCAAGACCAAGTCCTATCTATTTGAATAGGGGAATAAAATCAGAAACAAAATCTGACATGTACTAAAAGTTGCAAAACTACTTAACCTGCCCAAAGAAAACAAATAAACAACAGAACAGTACACCAACTCCCTAACTAACCAAAAACAGGAGAAAAGATACAAAAATCAAACAGGCACCCACCTCCCTACAGCTTCCACATTTGGGCTTGTGAATGTAGTACCAGCAATAATAGACCTCAGTAGGCTACAATAAGCCTTAGCTTGGTGAGAAATATTGCAGTCTTGATACAATATAACAGCAAAAACAAAAGCAGGTGAGGGACACAACACTCTGGAAGGCAAGCTTCAGTCCGAATGTCCTCCCAATAGTGATGTGACATTTGAACCGAGGCATCGGAGCTTGTGTCGAGAAAAAATGGGCGTGCCAGATGAAGCCGCGATTCGAGGCTTGTGTTGTTAACGTGAAAATCACGTGACTAATGACAAA